ACACTCCTACATCCAGTGGTGAGTGAGTGTGTGTGTGACACTCCTACATCCAGTGGTGGGTGAGTGTGTGTGTGTGTGTGTGTGTGTGTGACACTCCTACATCTAGTGGTGAGTGAGTGTGTGTGTGACACTCCTACATCCAGTGGTGAGTGAGTGTGTGTGACACTCCACATCCAGTGGTGAGTGTGTGTGTGACACTCCTACATCCAGTGGTGTGTGTGTGTGAGACACTCCTACATCCAGTGGTGAGTGTGTGTGTGTGTGACACTCCTACATCCAGTGGTGTGTGTGTGTGAGACACTCCTACATCCAGTGGTGAGTGTGTGTGTGTGACACTCCACATCCAGTGGGGGGGGTGTGTGTGTGTGTGTGTGTGTGTGTGACACTGTGGGTTGGCTCGGATTCTCCCTCCCTTCGGACCCCTCGTACAAATATTCCCAGGCAGACTGGGGGCCAGAAGCACTTCCGGCCAGACGCTGGACCTGTCACCCTGGCGGCTATGGGCTGGGGGTGGGTGGTAAAGAGGGCTGGAGGACCGGCTCCCCAGGTGCATCTCCGTGAACCCTGGAGAGCAACTGGGCTCCCCACTCTGAAAGGCCGCCTCCGGTGGAGCCAACGCTGTCCTTGGGGAGGAGACCTGGGGCTGAGCACAGGGCACGGTGTGGGGCATGTGTGCACACATGTGTAGGTGGGGAGAGAACAGATGTCCGGCAGATGATGCCCCGTCCCCCCCACCCCACCCCGCCCGGAGTCACTGCTCGGGAGCCAGGCTGAGTGCCCCTCCAGGTGCCCTGCTGGCAGACAGGCTGCCAACTACAGGTCACTCCCCCACCCCCTCAGGTTGTTTCCGCTTCGGGAGCCAGGAGTGAACTGGCACGCCAAGCCCCTCACGCTCAGGGAGATTGAGGTGAGCCCGGCTGGGGGGACGGGTCCTACGGGTGGCCTCTGCTGCACCGTGGGTGTGCTCAGGGACCCTGTGTCGTCATCCCTGGCCCTCAGTGCTGGCCTACGGGGCTGATAGAGGCTCCGCTCCTGACGCCTTTGGGAGCAGAGGCCAGGGCAGGGCTGGGACCGAGGGCGTCCCCTTTGCTGCCCCCGGTCCCAGCCGCCCTTGGGCGCGAGCGGAGGCTCACTGTGGAGGTGGGCTGAGAGCCTTGTCCGTGCCCCGCGAGCTGCGCACTCCCGGCCGGCGGTCAGGGCGCAGCGGCTGAGTGCTCGGGTTCCCCAGGCCTTCAAGAGCTGCCCGGAAGCCATGGAGCGGTTCGTGCAGGCCTACGAGCTCATGCTGGGCTTCTACGGGGTGCAGCTGGAGGACCGCGGCTCGGGGGCCGTGCTCCGCGCGCACAACTACCAGCAGCGCTTCCAGAACCTGAACTGGTGAGGCCGCGCCCGCCGAGAGCCCTCTGTGGGTGGGGGTGGGGGCGAGGGGCTGGATGGAGGGGTGCGCGGTGGGCCTGCCCGCGGGCCAGTGCGGACAGGACTCTCACGGTGCGGCAGGCACAGACCCCAACGAGAGAGGTCTTGTGCCCGCCTGCCCACACCCCTGCTTCGCCCCGCCACGTTTGTCACCAGTTCACGAGTGGGGCTCCCTGGGGGCCTGCTCTGGGCTGCACTGAAAAAGGAGACCTGTACAGAATGGGGTTCACAGGCACTCTGCAGGCTGTGGGGCG